GGGAAAATATTTTTTTTATAAATTGTATTAAATTACAAGCACAAATTACATAGAAACTACTTGTTCCTAAAAAAAAAAGTAGAAGACCTTTTTTAAAATGCTGATTATTTACAACAATTTGTCCAAGTCAAAAAAATCTGTATCTTCAATTTTTTTTACAGTCTTACACTTGACACATAAGAGTATTTAAAGAAAAAATTTGGAATTTTTTTGGAAAAAAAAAGTATAAACAATTTCAAATTGCCTATATTTTGCACAATATTGCACAAAAACTCATATTTTGAAAATGACATTTCAAGATCTGCCTTTAAAGAACAGATTCATATGGGAAAAAAACTTATCTATCTTCAATATCATAGACTGCTAGGAACATGCCCAAATAATGCATCTTTTCCTTAACAAAATCTGTTCCTAAAGAGTAGATCTTCAATAAGTTCATATTCAAATGTTTCGAATAATGTGAGTTGTTTCTGTATAATTTTGTACAAAATAAAGTCAATTTTTAAATTTAATTTTTTTGTCAAAAATCAAATCGAATTTTTTTTTATTTTCTCCCATAAGGACGATAAAAAACATGTGTTACCCCACTTTCGATCTATCTCCGTTATGCACACCCTTTTCATGATAACTTTTTGCCTCTGGACAGTCCGTTCTAAATAAACTAGTTGCGCTATAGAATTGCACAGACATTCTGGCACTCGTTAGTTTTCTAACGTCTAGTCTGAACTAGCTTTTCGGTTATGTCTTATCCTTTACTAAGCTGCCAGAGTAAACCTGGGCCAACCTGGATGACCGAGGACGTTAAAGCATGTATGGACACTGCGCTTCGTCTCTCATGTATGTATTGTCACTGAGGGCCTCACGTTCTCCAGACCCCAGATGACAGGAGCTCACAAGTATGTTGGTGTTATTTACCCGTTCACTCTAACAAAAATCCTGGTGTAAACAAATGCATGAGCGTTTAGGATGTATCCCATTGGTTTGCAGTGTGAGCTCTGCTGTTGTAGGGATGCTGTTGCTAAAGTGAATAGTTCTCCGTATAAGAACTACTTTATCTTACAAACACTCACAAACATAAGTGCCTGCAAACCTGTTCAAAAAATTACAAATACTACCACTCCCATGCATGTACATATTTGAAATATTAATCTTCACAAAGAACTCACATATAGGAAACAAGGATTCTGTTACTCTGAACACAGAAGTTCTTAACTATGATACCAGACAAAAAAAGAAATCTGCATGTTCTACATTGTGAAATTTCACTATCAAAAAAGTACCCTTATAGAAGGCATAACGCTATATAATTAACTTCCTAGTGAATTTAAAAGCTTTCCTGTCAAACCGAATATATGCATCATAAACTCGTATCTCCACCAATATAAACTAGTACTAATAATTTTTGCTTTTTCTGTTGCATGTTTTTTTTAAAACCCCCCGTAAACTGGTTGTTGGATATAAAGAACAGACCCAGCCTAGGCACAAACCTATGAAGAATTTATTTTTTTATTAATATTGATTTCTAACCCAAGTCTTCTTACACTATAATTATAAAATTAATATTAATTTATACTATAGCTCTCCATGATATTGTATTTAATACGAGAATTGAATTTTAAATTTAATTTATATCTTGTATTTAATTTTTAGAAATATCTGTATTGTGTATTGCATGATTATGTACATATCCTGACTTGTCATACATGGCGTATGCTGTATTTGTGTGACAAATTTATTATTATCATCATCATCATCATCATCATCATCATTATTATTTTCTATCGTTCGTTAAATTAACCTTGCGTCAAAACTATTGCAACGGTTTCGAGAAAGGAGACTGCGAGTTGCTAAGATTACGTGCCTCTAAAGGCCCATTCACAATGCAAACATAAACATTAACATGGTGTTAAAACATAAAAGTTAGGACTACGTCTATAAGCGGACTTATTTACAATACGTTCACATAAGCATAAAACTTAAGACGTTAACTTAAAAGCTTGCAAGCTTCAAACTTCTGTACTTATGCTTAAGTTAGACATAAGAAATGAACCAGTGACATGATGGGCCATGGACACAGTCAATACCTCGAAATCGATTCTCACATCCAACCAATAGTAAACCAGTATGCCTCACAGCCAATAGAAACTCTTATTTTGCTTACGTTTAAGTTGGACATCGTGAATACTTGAGTATCACTTGTGCCCATGTCTGGGCCAATACGCTATGCTTACATTTACGTTTGCATTGTGAATGGGCCTTTATACTTCAGCCCATGAAAATGTGTGAAAATGATCGACGTGAGACCGCAGCACTGTGCCTCCGCACGGCCCTGCAATGCCCTGCTATTCAGTTTATTTTCGAATGTCTCAGAGTGAGGTTGGCCCTTCAATAATTAAACACAAGTGTTGAAAATTTCTTCAGAGCAACGAAAAGTGCATCTTTCTGAACTTTTCAATTTGTTATTGCATAGGAATACATTGTTACCGGTGAAACAAATATCAGAGTTCACTGGAATATCCGTATCCAGCGTATTGAAACTGCGGAAAGAGTATTCGTAGTATTCGTAAGGCAAGAAAGTAATAAGAATTTCAGAACCATTAGGAATATATCAAGCTGTTCCTATGTATACAGGTAACATTGTATTTAAATATGTCTATATATTCATTAGTTTACTTAAATCGCTTCACGGAAACATTTGTCACAATCTTTCAGAAAAAACCTTAATCAACTGTCCACCAAGTTACCTGATCGCACACAAGTCGCTTCGGTGGAACAACGGTAATAGTATCGGGCGAGTAAGCTGTTGTACGCAAGTTTGCAGGTTCACTCCTGATCGAAGCCGTGGATTTTTAAGGGCAAAAAATCCTTCGGAGAGGAAGTGAAGCCGGCTGTTCCATGTTGTAGATTTACTGCATGTAAAAGATAAAGTCTAAACGAAGCCTCTCAGCTAAATTCAAATCGTTTCGTCGTTCGAGCAATACATTATATCTCTGATAGTTGCTGAAAAGAGCATGCTGAAATTTGCTTTGTCAGATGTCCGTCTCTTCCGAGCGGGCCCAATGACCCACGTCTTGCCATGTAAAATACGGCATGAACTGAACTGAACAAACTTTCCCACTGGCTATGAATGCCTTCCTCTCTTTTGGGCCTAACAATCGAAAAATCCTAATCAATATTGAAAAAACATTAGTCTGTGTTAGAACATTAAAAAAAAAAAAAGGACAATGTATTTTCGGTGTAATTTACGATTTTTCTGAGTATTAATGTATTCCAAAAGAACCACAATATTCCTTAATAAGAACCTCCAAACTTAAAGTTCACAATAAAAACTACATATTCTATAAAAATCGCATTTATTTTACTCACCACAGAATGAAGCTTACGCCATACATCAGGACACAACCAATTAAAGTGATCTTTGCCTCCACATGAAGCACAGTTTGGTGAATGATTCCAACACGAAGGGCAACCTTCATTGAAGAGTGGAGCAGGCCGACCACACTGAAAGATTAAATAAATAACAATGTTAAAAGGACAAAAGGGCTTCATAGCATATACTGACCTTTTCTTTTTCCTACTAACTAGTTAGTATCTGAAATGGTATATTTTAAATCTTAATATTACATGCCACCTACTATGAGAAAACAAAAATTTGGATGCAAAGAATCCCCATTGAAACAATAAATACTTGTGGTATGACTGTTGTTATGGAGGACCAGATTGAGTAGGGATGGGCAACATCATTCTTTCAAGGAGTCTCAGAAGGCAAAAAATTAAAAAAAATATAATTTTCACTTTTTGGTGAATTATTAATCATCAATATTAACCCTTTTCAAAATAGTATTCATTTTATCTTAGTGTTATTTCCAAGTGTTCTTTTTTTAAATAAATAATAAGCTACGCATCGTTCCTTGCTATGAATGGTTTTCAATGTAAAATTATCCCCAGTATTTATTATTTTTCATCGAGAACAAGGAAAATAGAGGAGGAAACTAGGGGAGTGTGAGAAGCATGCAAGACACACTGACATCGGTGAAAAAGAAACTAGAAAAGTAAATGTTGAGTGACTAAAAATTCATCATATAGGCCAGGAATTAACTATATATACATGGCAAACTTCGCAGCCTAATTCCTGAAAGTTTGTTTTTTGGTATATAAGGAACGTTCTTTTCTTAACTATTAGAGCAAGACTCTTCAAAATTTTAGTCATTCTTCACTAAGTCAAACTACAACTTTCTCATAGCCTCTTTATTATATCTTATTATTCACACAAATTATGTTCATGATAATTATAAAAATATGGGGATTCTACACTTTAACAAATTCATATCTACAACAAAAAATTAAAATTTCTTTAAAATCCTATGATACAACATTTAAAATGTAGCCAAGAAACTACCATAAAAATAAATCCTCTAGTGTATATAGTTTGGAAAATAATGTTCCTTGAGTTTAACATTGTAGGTATAGGTCCTTCCAGAGTCTTGAGTGAACAGTTCCAAATACATTCAAAAGAAAAAGGTTTAGATAGTATGCATATATAAAATGAAATCATTGATTGAAATAAATTAAAATCACCAATGATAATGAACATGAATAAGCACAATAAAAAACAAATAATATAATAAAGAACATATTAGCATGATGGAAATCAAGGTGTCATTAGCAAGCACTTTGTAATACATAATACAAGCCATAATTTTCACATATAAACAACGATATATCATCACCAGTTAAAAAAACTATGGCCTACAATAGCTCTTAAAAAATATATGTCAATAATAATAATAATAGTAGTAATAATAATAATAATAATAATAGTAATAATCACTCCCTCTAAATTAAAGAAACCTACTAAGAAATATATTCAGTCCAAAACTCAATGGCACTTCTGGAAAATAATAAACAAAATGTATCCTGATTTTATTTTTATTTAAATATAATGAATTATACAGTTAACTGTTGATACATACAATTATTTATCAACTTTCCCGTTAATAGAGCCTGGCAGAAAGATATTTTTTGTCGAAAAATGTTGGTTATCCAGCACATGATTACAATCTCTTCTCTTCTTATGAAGCAAAGAGAGAAAGTAAAAGCAACCCAATTTACCAAATAATTAATTAAACACAATGAATATATTGACTCAGCAATTCATACTTACTTTTAAACATAATTTATTTGGACACTCATTTTCTACATGTCCACGCTGGCCACACATTGAACAACATTTCATTTTCTTCGGATCAGGGCACTGTTTAGCCATGTGCCCAAACTGACTGCAATTAGCACAACGTATTCGAGGACCATAATTTTTGACAGGCCCATATTTATCAACATCCAGAATTTTCCACTTGTTTGGGTTAGCTAAAAGATCCAAGAAAATACAATAAATAAGATAATTAAGGCTGTTAATTAAATATAACATTATCAATGCTATGTTTTCTTCATCAGTCTACATGTTACTTGTTATAATTTAAAATTGTGTACCATATTCAGAATGCTAAATCATCTGGTATCACAATTTTTCAATTGCTCTATTCTGACATAAATAAAAAGTATCTTCTTAGTTCACAATTACTTTATGCCCACATTACGCCCCAATTTTTACTTTATGTCCCCATTAAGCTCCAATTTTTAACGAACATTCTTCTAGAAAACTAAACAATAATTATTTCATCAATTTTCTTATTCTAACATAACATTAGAATTCTTAAAAGATAAATTCCACAAAGTTTTTGAAGTCACCCATTAACTTTACTCTGGAACCCAAATTGGATGTAATGGATTTCAGATGGTGTAAACTTAACCATGCCTTTCAAAATTTTAGATGTTTCAATAAATGGCTTTTTATTGAACAGTGGTTTCACCAACAGTAAAGGAATGTTTTGAAGTATATACAGAATTATTGTGATGTTTTAATTTGTGCTGAAGCTCAAAAAATGTCTGATATTTTAAAAATACGACAGAAACATACTGAAATAATGTAACAAAATCTAGCTATATATCAAAAAGCAAGCAAAAAAAAGGTCAAATTACACATGTAAAGTTATTTTTTCTTGAAATCATATACGATGAAACAATTAAAACTCCAAAAACACAGTCCTGCTAATTGTTAATGATTAGGAAACAAATTTCAATTTCAAGTTTTGTAGCTCTCAAACAAAATTTTCATACACAAGGTGTTTATTGTAAAAAGTACATGTTCAGTAGAAATGTTTGACTATTGTAACAATATAATTAAGACTCCTGAACTAAATTGAATGAAGCAAATACTTATTTTAGCGTTCATTCTACAGGAACAAAATGTTTATTTTTCATTAGTTCATTTTTTTTGTAATACAATAAACTACCAAATACCCATTTGATGTTGTTCACGATACAAGTACATGTAACAGGTTTAGACTTATTTGGCTAATAATAATTAAAATAAAATCTTATTGTAAAATGAAATAACATACACATTTACACTCACATGTCATCTCTTGAAGTAATTTTTGATGATCATAAGTTTCACCTCCCCAAGATGTATTGTAGAATTGCAACATTCCAGTAGTCCACGATTTACATTCAAATGAATGAATGAGTTTACGCTTTTTCTTCTTCTTCGTCTTTTTTTTTATTTCTTTGGAAGTTGAGCTGATCATAAACAATGGGTTCTTGATATTTTTACTGCTTACTGTAGTACTTTGACTGGTGTGAGGGCTATTAGTAATCAATTTTTTATTGGTCTTATTGACATTTAAAATAAGAGACTTATTTGAAATGTCTCCCGTTTCTGATTCATCTGAACTGTCTAATGCTACCACGGGCGGTGAAGGTTTTGCAGGGATACATACCTCCACAACAGACTGATCTGAATGGTCTTCATTACCATCAGTGTCACTAATGATCACAACTTCGTCTGTTGTTGTACTTGACACTTCAACAATCTTTGGAGCATTCTTTTCAACTGCACAAATTTTAGAATTATGGTTTTCAATACCATTGAACCTTTTTGGGGGACAAATATTAGAACCAACTTCAGGAATGTTTGATGCATTCTTTTCCTTACTTGTACTAGCACTAGGATCACCAGCAACTTTTAATCCATAATATGAATTGGTTCTATTAGTTGGGTTTCTATTTTGCTCCATCCCAAAGAGAGAATTATCAACAATACCTTCTCCAGATTGTCTGCCACGGTGCTTCAAGAAGCCAACACTTTTTCTGTTGAATTCACTCTCAATCTGGCTGACATTTCTAGGGGTTTCAAATGAACTAAAATTATTTACTTTCAAAATAGCCTGAGGGTCAACACTGTATTGTAGATTGTAATCATTCCTTTGGACAAATATAGGCACAAGATTACTCTTCCTTTGATAAACGTTTCTGATTCTTTCATTCATATTTTGTGGTTTATCGGTTCTGTGATAGTTTACATTCTGTTCTCTACTATTAAACCGTTGGCCAAACATTGTTTTGGATATGCTGGAAATATTATTGTCAACAAAGGGTATATGATTGGCTGCTGGACTGATATTTTGAGGATGTAAAATATAATTACTTGGGGTTCCAGAATTTCGTATTTGCTTTAAAACCTCCCACCTATTAACATTATTTCTCTGACGGATATAACCTTCACTAAATTCTAACATGCTGGTATTGTATGTTTCTTCACTATGATGAACCATGCTGTACAAGGCGGCTTCAGCTTCTCCATGATCCCATCCATCGCTATCTTCACTAAAAATGCCCTAAACAGGATGATAAATTAAAGACAATTAGATAAAACTGAATAAACTGAAGTGTAATGTAGTTGAAATCATTAAATAAAAAGGTAAAGGAGAAAAATTCTATTTCAAATTAATTCATTAATGTTTGATTTTTGCAAAAACTAAGACCAGAAATATAATAATTATGCTTATTTTACACAAACTTACCTCTAAGAAATCATCCATGAATAAATAATCTCAGGCAAAAAATCCACAAGCAAGCTGTAATTAGAACAGTATGTGATTACAATTTTTAAATTCAGCCAATCATGTCATCAATGCTACATCATTGTTTACTCGGGAAAATTTGAATTTTACATTATCTAATACTTTTAATTATTAAGAAATGCTATCACTGATGAAATTAAGACAAAATAATCTACTTGTATGCTAGATTACTCTGTCAATTGTACACCAGAGAACACATTTGATTCGAAGAAAAGCAATAACGTTGCTATTCTGTTTAAACAAAGTTAATAACAAATACAAGCCAAAAATGTTATTAAAAGTAAAATAAATAACCTTTCATCGCATCTTCTTGCCATTCACTCAAAGGCACAATGCAATACTTAACACCTTCACATATGCACATTTGTTTGAAGTGACAATAAAATTGTCACAGAATGGCATTTGTTGAAATTTCACCTCGTGTTCCAAATTTTCCACTTATTACGCAAATTATACCTACACCATAACCAAACGCACGCACACGTTACAACAACCTACTAATCCAAACCATTATTTCCATATTGGTTGGTTCAATTTCCAAAGCACTTGCACAGAGCGTATATCAACATTACACCACAATATAACGTGGTTATCCTCTGGCACAGAGAGTGGCGTTGAGACGTTATATACTCTCTGGACTGCGTTGAGAAGACTAGCAAATACTGGAGCATGGTGGATACACAGAGTAGAATTTAGTCTCCTCGCCGCGAAATATAAACTAGTCATGTAACAGTAAGCGCAGACTTTCTCGTATTAGTTTTCTAATTTCTTTGGTCTGGACTAGCTTTTCGGTCTTACCCCATCCTCTTGCTAGCTGTCATCTATCGCCGCACAAAGATATTTTTACATTTTTTTGTTGTTTTTTTATGATAGAACCGAGATAATTTATACTTTAAGAATATTTAAAAAAATAATAAAACCTCGTCCTATCTGAAAATTGTCGTTGAAAAAATTTGGAGTCGTTTTTAAGAAAATGGCGTTTTTGCGTCACTGTAAATGCGAAATTTGAAGCTCTTTTTCACTGAATTTTTTTTGAATTTTTCGAAAAACTTTATTGGAACTCATTTGAAACACTCTAGTCACAAATGCAATAATGTTTGCAAATCAGTGGGAGTGTGCATATTGTGTGCGGTACGAAATGTGGGGCGTGAGAGAGAAAAAAGTACATTAAGTAATTTTTTTTAAAAATAGCAAAATTAATTTTGTCATATTTAACAGACAACAAACCGTTAGAAAAGTTTGAAGAAAAAAATTGTAGCCGTTTTTGAGAAAATGGCGTTTGAGCGCTTCTCGAAAAACTTTATAGGATATCATACAAAGCTCATAAAATCAAAAACTGCAATCATCTAAACTAATCAGCGTTAATGTCAATATTAACGACGTGGGAGAAATATAAAAATTTAAATTTTTGGTAATTTGTGAAAAACAACAAAAGACTAGAGTAATATAGCATTTATGCCATCTCATAGAGTACATTTTGCACTATCCCTACAAAAAGTTAAAAGAAAAAATGTTGAGCCGTTTTTGAAAAAAAAAATTGTTACTTTTTAATATTGCACATAATGCACGCAATATTGTGCGAAAAACTACTGAAATTTTCGAAAAAATATTATGTATGACGTATAGACGTTTATCCGTGAATCGATTTTTCGGAATCAAGGATTCACCAAAACTCTGATTGTAGCTAAACCACGTGTTAGAGGACTTGTTTCTTAATTTAGCAACTGTATTTATACATTGCTTCGTTATCAGGGCCCGGCAATAAGAGTTTTTCTGGAGAAAATTCGCCGTTTTTTCGCGCAGCATTACGTAACTTTCTCTCTACTGCACAAGCGGCAGCGAGATTGTAAAAGCGCAGGCTTTCAAAGATATAACTAGTATTTCTATGGAATGGCACAGTCTTTCTCATACTAGCAGTAGCCTAAGTTCAAACACCACGTGGGCCTTTGGACTAACCCATAATGGGAGGGGGGTGGGGGCTAGTTAAAGATTTGTCATTAATTTAGTTCTTGTTATTATAAACTAAATTTTAGGAGTAAAAACATATATCACAATAAATTATTATAGAAAATAAATTATCATTTTTGCAATTTCATTATATAATTTAAACAATGATTTTATAATTTTTTCCCATTTACAAATTTGTGAATGACTGTAGAAATATTATTTTTCAACCACATTGTGTTTTCGTGCTCATTTGATAAAAAACTTACATTACTAAGATATTTTTGTGCCATTGTACTTCATAAATAATTTTTAATCGCCTTTAATTTTGAAAACTTTCTTTAGATGCTGGCGACCGAGACAGGAACTGTTAATACTGGATATACAAGGGGAAAACTTGAAAATAATGAGCAATGTTCAATCATAAATGTTCGCAAGATATTTAACATATCTTAGTTTTGAAATTTTACCCGTTAAACAAATTCGCAAAGTAAAAAACGGAGACAAGTTTTCCGCATCGTCCGCAGGGTATTTTGATTGTAGCTTTTGGGCTTCTTCGTAAATTTCATTGTCCGAAAGTGCTATCAAAACTTGTGGCTGAATCACTGTCAAAATTGCCACTGTGTTTTGTAATACAACAAATCGTCGCTTCAACTAATTAATGGAAATATCTAGACATCCATACTAAACACCAAGCTTGTATCTTTGTTCGTCAACAGCCACGAGTTGTTGATCCTCGCGAAGTTCGTCAAAATGTTGTTTCATTTTCTTCACTCGTTTATCGCTAAATTTTACTTCTTTCCAGACTTTGGATAATTTTATTGTATCATTTTTCAAATTGTAGTGGTTATGAACAGTCTTTAATTCTTCGCAAAGTTCACCTAACTGAAGACCGCTCAGTCATATCTGCGCCTCTTGTAAATCCAAATCAGGGCTTTGAAGGTATTTCGAAACAGGTGTTTTAGAATTAAGTGCTGCATGGAAAACAAATTCAAAAATTTCCATTTCTTTTTTCAAATTGCAGGCTTCATTTGAGTAAGATATTTTGATAGAAAATGTATTTTTAGTTGAAGCTTGCAAAATATTAAAATAGTATCCTATCTTATAGCTATCAAGGAATTGGTCCATGATGACCATCCTGTAGGACAAAATCATTTTTCCTTTTTGAGTGAGACACTATAGACTACACTTCTTCAACTTTCTGCTTTTCTTTGCTTCCTTATCTCTTTCATTCTAATCCAATATTTATCTTTCCTCTCCTCAGTCCAAATGGTCCCTGTCTTCTTTTTCATCTTGTTCTCAAATCCTGGGAATTTCTTGAGTTTGGTCCTCATTGAAGATCGCTCAGTAATATCTGCTGATGCAATTTTGAGATCCTCTAAGTACTTTTCAACTTCTTTGACTCACTTATTGGTCATCTTTAATTTAGTGAAATAATGTAGTGATTTTTTTATTTTAGAAAAAAGTTCATTTTTGTGAATGTAATCTGTAAAGATGTTCATAGAGTGTAATTCTTCTTTTTCTCATAGAGTCCGAAATTTTCTCAATAATTTTGTATCATTTTTTGTTATGACGTCACTGTTACTGATAATTTTAATTGAGCCCAAAATTTTCCCTGAGAATTTTTCGTTCAGTAGTTTCCAGTTCCTCTAACATTTTTTTATTTAGGGTTAGGCATTCCTCTGCATACAATGCCTCTGATCTAACTACTGTTGAATAATGCCAAAGTTTTGTATTGATGGAAATTGATTTCTTATTATAAAAATCATTAGGTAAGTTTGCAGCTAACTTTAATTTGTTAATTCTAGATTCAATGGCTTCTTTCTCTGAGCTATTTTTCTCAATAATTTCTCTGAGATATTTTAATTTTTTAGTTCTAGATATTATACCATATTTTGTCTTCATAGTTGCATGGAATGTCTTAAACTAGCTGATTAGCTGTTTCTACCGAGTCTGACAATACTGATCTGTAAAAGCCAGGCAGTCCACTGTAACATTGTCTCTTTTATAGCCGAAACGTATCCTGTCATTGATAAGATGTTCTTCCAGTCTTCCTCCATTCTCTTATAACTTTTCCAAGACACAGTTTAAGAGCAGTGGTGAGAGACCATCCCCTTGACAAACTCCTGTTTTGATCTCAAACCTTTTAAATACTCTACCACTAAATTTCACTTTGGAAGAAGTATTTGATAACATTTGCCTAATTAGGTGTGTTGTTTTAATATCTAGGCCAAATTCATTAAGAATTTTAAATAAGGTTTCCCTGTCAATTGAGTAAAATGTTTTCTTGAAGTCAATAAAAAAAACAACATAATCTTTAGCCCTCCTTAAATATGTTATTGTGGCATTTAAGTTAAAAATATGATCTATGCATTATCTACTTTTCCGGATTGCATTGATAATCCCCTATTTGCGGGTCAATTTGTTTTTCTCTCATTTTAACAGAAAACTTTAGTTTTGAGAAACTTTATAATACATCATTTAAAATACATGTACTCCTAAATGCAATAATGTGATCTGTACACATTTAGCAGATCATATTGTAAATATTACCAGTGTGAGAGAGATGTCAAAAAATTACAATCCTGTAATTTTTGAAAATACAAAAGAAAAGACCAAAATTGCATTTATGTTATCTTATACATAGGTTCACACACCATACTCAAAGTTGAAAGAAAAAAATTGGGCTGTTTTTGAGAAATTTGTTTTTTTATTTTTTTAATAATGCACATATTTGACTCAATATTGCAAGAAGACTACTAACATTTTCAAATAAATGGGCAGAAACGTAATGAAATAACTAATTATGGAGAACAAATTTCAAGGAAAAATCTTCTCTCTGTCTTCAATTTTGTAAGTGTGAGATGACACCGAAAAAATTTCTGAGTTTTGCAATTTTCGAAAATTTAGTTAACAGTGTAAAACAAACTTAGTATGCTATCTTGATAGGTTCATTTTACTC